ATCAGTTACAAATTGAATATTGTACAGTCATCATCAGCAAAATATTAGAACACAATGAGTAGTCATACAACAATTTATGCTGATGGCGTTAATTTAATGGGCGAAATCATAAAAGCCACAGAAGTGATTTATATTAGGACCCTCTGCCAAAAAAACGAAGGACCTGTTGAAATTAAACAGAGAGCAATTAAGTTGGACAGACATACGGACAGACAGACAGACAGACAGACAGACAGACTATGCCTAATACCTCTGAAGATTTTTGATCGAAGGAACTGCGCTTTCTGTATTTACTTGTAAACGAATGTGAAATTCTCCAGTTTTCCTTAGCTTCCCGCTTTACAAACACAGAGAACAGTGGAAGTAAAATTTCATCCACATTAAATCTCAACACTATACGTATAGGATAATTTGTATATTTGTAATATGTTTTAATTCAGAACCATAGCGTTGGATGTCAGGTTTAGTAGCGAACAATTATTTTGTAAATGTGTGCAAACAGTCTGTCGTTGCCTAATTTAAAGCGCTGTCCCGGAATTTGCACGGAGGGAATGTGGACGAAGATCTCAGGCCCAGGCCGATCTTGAAACACTTCCCTGCGTGACAGTGTACGGAGCTCATATGATAGTGTAGTCATAGCAATTCCCATGTACTCCCGCCACAACCGTGCAGTAAACGCAATTGTATCTGGAGTGGTACCGTGTAGAGTGCTCACGGTTTGTCTGTAAGCCAGTCTTCCTAACGTTCAGTATGCAGCGGCCGCATGTAGAGAAGTGAAGCCTTACTGGTCGGCCCGATTTGACGGGGAGAGAATAAGCACCTTCCGCCTGGGTTACAGCTCAAAACGAGACCCACCAGAGTTTTGTATTTTGCCATGTTCCGGAAGTTAGATGCAAAAAATTAAAGAAACATAATTGTGAACTAGCACGTAACAGCCATTACCAGAAATTAATAAGTTATTAATTAATTCATAAAGGTTATCTGGTACTACTTTAGCGTGCGGTCTGTGCTGTTTAACAGAACATTTATAATAAAAAAGGACAATGGTGTTCTATATTTATTTATATATAAATATATATAATTTTCTTAGAAATAAATTTTCAGCCCACGGCAATGTATTCGCGGTACATGTCTTGGTAAACCGCATGATATAATGTAAATGTCCAGAGAGACCGCAGATCAAGGGTTAGGTTAGGTTAACGAACACATTACAGTGTACTGCAAGATTTATTTCTTCTAAGAAAATTAAATATCATTGATTCTTATGATAAGTGCTCTGTTAGACCGCATGCTGCCGTGTAAAAGCACGGTAAAGTAACACAGGTTATTTTATCTCGTTAGTACTGTTATTATTTGAGCTTTATTCATAATTTGGATAGATTTGCTACACCCTTTCTATATCAGGATTTTGTCTCGCATTCTGCTGATTAGTTTTGTGAAAGCGGTGATTGGATCGCCGCCTGCGTTGGAGGAACGCGTCTTTTCGGCTTCACGGAATGGATTATTTAAACTTTTCATAGCTCCCCCCCCCCCCGCCCGGCAGCCGCTCCTTCTGCTCAGTTCTGAGATAAAGTCTTCCCGCGATATGGCTTGCATAACTTTAGAACAACATTGGAGTATGAGTCTGTTTTTATCGAAGAAAACTTATTGAATGATCCTACCTGTTGCTTCGTACAGTTGCAACAGTAGGTACAGTATTTGAAATAAAAGTTGTATTATAAACGTTATAAATTGCAGAAATATGCTTTCAATATCAATATCCTCTACTGTTACTTATCTAGAATTGTGTTTAAACTTAAATACTTAACATGGCTCGTTAAAAGTACATGTAAGATAAAACAGCACACAAGATTATTTTCCAACAAGAGTGAAAAGCAATAGATTTCTGAAAAGGTTCGAAAGGAGGACTGCCCCCGAAAGCGTGTTAATGGACGGTGAGCCTGTTAAAGTAAAGATCAGACATAGTTAAGGATCCATGCATCTGCAGCTCTAAAATATATTATGAAACATCTAAAGAAATATTCATCACCAGAAATGCGGGTTTGTGACCTGCGCAATTAGTGCTAAATTGTATATAATATAAACTGAAAAACCGTCGTCTGAAATAAGATCGTTTAATTGGAGAGTTTCCAGTTTTGAGAAACATACACGTATTTTTATATTTTAGTTACCCCAGTGACGTGGTCCCTACATATCCGCATTCCTAAACGTTTTCACACCAAAACTCTTACAGATTGGGGGCACGCGTTAGCATATTTGGTTGAGGCACTATGCTTCAAGACGGAAGGTCGCGGGATCGAAACCCGATGAGGCAATTGTATTTTTTTTTCAATACACTTACTCCTTCCAGCAGCCGCACTATGGCCCTGGGGTCGACTCAGCTTCTAACAGAAATGAGTACCGGGAATATTCTCGGAATGCTCTTGGGGTAAAGGGCGGGCGGCGCGTAGGGATGACAACCTTGCCGCCATCTGTGAGCCGTGTGTCTCGATAATGTGAGAACCTCAACATCTCACAACCCTATGGGCCTTCACAGATTATCCTGAATGCCACGTTAGCATTCCTGAAGCAGCTGCCGTACATGAATAGCACCGATCAGTGTGATCACAAAGCGGAAGGGGCTCTCACTATCGACTTTCGGGACACTGCGATGGAGGTTGGATTTGCGTTATAGCTTCAGCTGAGGTTTCTGGGTTGTCATGCATATCTTCATATTGGCTGATCTCCAGTCCAAGGAACCCAGTTTATGAACTTCAATTACTCTACTTCAGATCTCTTAATTTTAGACTGCAGATCGGCTCCTGTGGCTTTTCTTGACTGCTCCTCCAGACAAATTCCGGGAGAATGTCTTAAGTTGCATCTGCTTCCTTCAGGTTCCTCCAAGTTCCTATCACCATTCGACGCTGCGTAGCCTAATCAACTGAAACGCTGCAACCAAAATCATAAAGAACTGCTTCCCGACATTTCAGTGTTTTCCGAAGAAATTTGTATTCAAACGTGCACGATTTTCTCTGTGCTGTTTCCCCGTAACTCACAGAGCAGTTTGAGATCGTAAGGAAGGGCTTTTAAGTGAATGGGGGGGGGGGTTACTAAGTAAATGCTGTGTGCCGTAAGATCTCTTTCAGAAATATAATACAGAACTGAATATCCAGGATTCAAACTACTCGGCCTTTTCAGCTTCTCTATCAAAATCCTCGGTGCTTTAGCCTGTGGTGAATTTACGAGTGTTTTGTTAAGGCTGGAGTGAGTAAGCTGCAAAGTGCGACCATGGGACATGGAGGCGGCTGTAACAAGCCTCTTGATATACCGAGTAGGGATTGCATTTGTAATGACATTCACGAGCTTTAGCCACAAATATGGCTTTACTTCCCAACTTTTAAAATGTAGGAAGCTTTTGTATGAAGGCGAATTGTAGCCGCTGGCAAAGTAAGGGCGGTTGATGAAGATGGTTCAAGAAGTGGTGGGCAAACATTACAGAAAGAACAGATGCAAGATCAACATATACACTGCTGAGACCTCCTGGATGAAGAAAGAAATATTGCGGAAGAATGAGTAACAGTGGAGGATGCAGAAGTGAAAATGAGTGCTACTTACGAGCATAAAAGGAAAATCACTTCCGAACAACGAATATGTAAGCATTCTGCGTTAAAGTAGGGGCATATTAAGGGCAGCTTTTCCGCTGAACTGTGTCAGTCCCTTCCCAAAATAAGAGTACTTTCCAACATTAAAATGCGCTTTTACAAATACCGTTTTCTCTCCACTCCAAGGAATAGTTCCAAGTCCTGATGAGGTCACTGGATTTTTTTTTAATTGACTTAATCCTTCCGGCCGCACTATGGCCCCGGGGTTCCCTCAGCCTCTAACAGAAATGAGTACCAGGAATTAAATAAATAATTTTCTTGGGGAGTAAAGCGCGGCCGGTGCGTAAGGCTGACAACCTTACCGCCATCTTTGAGCCGATTGTCTAGATAATGTGGAACCCTCAACGTCTCACAACCCTATGGGTCTTCATGGCCTGTTACAGGGATAGCTTTACTTACTTACTTTACTCCAAGGATTAGGCATTCAACAGTCTTGGACTCATTCGTCACTTAATCGGTTTGTGTTCATTCCCACACTTAGCTTCTCTACAAATACGGACTCAAGCCTCTCCTTAGACACGCTCTTTCCTTTCATTTTTTTGGTCCAATAAAATTCCTACCTGGCATATGTCCTTATTTCATATCCTATTTAATTCAGTCCTTCAGATATCTCAGCTGCCCGCATTTCAGTCCCTTACCTAACATTCACTGCCGTAACAATAACAGTGGGAAAGCAACAACTCTCTGTATGCATACTTTAACCTGTGGCACTGCATGACTACAAAATAACCCGAAAACTGACGTTCACATTGAAGTCCTCTACTCATGCATCACTTCAGCAAACTGCAGGATCCGAGTGTGGGGTAAAACGCTTTGTAGTGAGTTGGAAATCAGAAGACATTTCTGAGGAATGTGTCGTGTCCATCTTCAGCTCTGCTTGCTATCTGCTTCATGCTGATTTCTTATTTGTCTCAGTTCTCGGTCTCAAAAACGGAGACTTGTTCCTCTTAAGCGTCGGTTCACATTCAGTGGACTACACGTCCTTATACCCCAGAAGAAAAGTCTGTTGAATTTCACAATATTACTAAAATGAAGTTTTCGGTAAATTATTTCCAGCAGTATTTCCTGATATGGCATCCACGTTAAAACGCGAGGAATTTAGAGATGATTATACTACCTGAAATTAGTTACAGGCGTTCCTGGTGAACACATTCCATTGTTTTTAGGTTCCTTATCTAAATGAATATTTTATGAATGCATTTGCTTTGCGATATGACACACATAGAGACATGGCCTCATTAGTTTCCGGAAGAACATATACCGTGTTACAAGTTACAATTACAAAGTGCCAGAATATCATAGGAGTCTGTGTAAATAACTTCTAATATTATAAAAAACTGGATTCTTGTTTTCTTCCAGGTTTCGCGCATGGCGACCCCCGTTCACCCTGGCATCACTAACTAAGGTAAGAGGACTCTTAAAACTGACTCACTGGTATTTGTGGAGAATGTACTATTGCTGTATAAACCGGGCTACATTTGATGGACACTATTTTCAACACTTCGGTTCTTATGTGAGTAATTAAAACGTATCTTAGGGTAACGAAATGCAGTGAAGAAAGGCAAATCACTTGATGTCTTCCCTGATATCAAACTGAAACCAGTGACACATTTTTACAGCGCATTGATCTTAAATTTCGGTGATGACCTCTTGAGCCAGTTGGTGACTATTCATTGTAGGATCCTAAGAAGACTCCAACAGGACCTGCTTCTGATTCTGCTAGTAGAGCTAGTGTGACAGGTTTCTTAATATATTTACTCAAAAGTTTCGTCAAACCGTCACCATCCTAAACTGTAAATTTGATTCCGCGCAACAATATCAGTGTGAGAGCACAAGCGACACCGTTTTGATACGGATTGGCAGACCTTACAGCAAGCGGCGACATCTGGTTTCCCACGGTTGCACTCCACACACAACTGACCTGAAATTGTCAGTTACCAAGAGGTCACATTCGTTTGCTAACTGAGAGAACGAGGTCAAGAGAAAATATTAGGGTCTTGGGGTAAGATAGCAAATCGCATCTGTTGGTAGTCAGTCACACGCTCTTGTTCTTTGAAATAAGTGGGTCCGGACCTGTGCCTGTTGAATGTGATGACGTTTCAAAAATATTTTCTTTTGATTAGAGTAAATGTTTATCCTTTCGCAATTAGTGCAGAAGGGCAACTGAAAGTGGAACTTAGATGCAGAATGCTGACCAGATAGTGAAAGGAGCAACACATGTTATGTCCCAGTTATCTGATTTGCGGGGTCACCGCCTCTTTATTAAGGTTTTCAATCTTAAACGGCACTTTACTTAAAATCGTTAATAATATTGTGCCAGTTTATCTTCGCATGTAAGAACACTGAAATGGAAGAGTGTTTCTTGAAACTGTAGAATAAAAGAAAAAACGTGTCTGTATAAGAAAACAAATTGCAGGAAGCAGCGACCATGTAAATGAGCTTAATCCGACATTTCTTGAACAGTGAATTGTTGACACAGTGCTTGACAGATGTTGCTGAAGCAGCTTAACCGGAAAGCAAAACAGGGCATCACAGCATAACTTCATCGTGAAGTGTACGTCGCGCCGGAGAAGTGAGTTCTGACTTATTGACATTGTTGGCCGCGCCATAGCTCAAGCTTCCCACCGCGGCGGCCCGAGTTCCATCACAGGCCTGGTCAAGTGGGATTTGTGGTGGACAAAGTGGCGCTGGGGCAGGTTTTCTCCGAGTACTTCGGTTTCCCCTGCCAATCTTCATTCCACCAATTGCTCCACAATCACCCTCACCTGTCATCTGGAGCTGGTAAAATAGGCCAGAAGTGGCCGCAGTACAAGGGACTTAGTCCCACCCCACTAGCTATAAAAAATTAGTCCTGATACTGCTGCTTTATATAGAAATGAATTTTTCAAACTTGTGAAAGAACTTCCATAACTTCGCGGTATAAGAAACTTTCTGCTGTTAACTTTCCAATTTTTAACAGTGAGAAGAGAACATAACTGGAACTGTACAGAAATGGCAGAAGCTCGTCTTTCGATGAGTTCCTTGAACCTCACAGTAGAAAGGACGACAGTTCTTTGTAAGATATCACACACATATCATACAAATATGTAGGTAGAACTACTTGCGTGATATTTATTCGTCGCTTAAGGGCAAGGAGATGCGTTAAAATTCCCCGTTCTCTGTCTGATCCACTCTTCTGCAGCTTTCGACCTGCTTTGCCACTACAGTGATAATGGACTTGTACAGGTTTTCTGAATGTACACTTACACGTTACTTACGCAGAAGTTACTTGAGGAAGATTAACAAATATGTCACACGTCTTCGTTCATGCTTAATTCCCACTAAATCAGAAGATGCACGGAAATGCTTCTCATGCTTCACTCTACAATTCTTGCTCTGGTCGGTATTTAAAGTTTGAGGCGGACGAGAACATGTATACATCGTCATACAGAGTGTTCATTGCAGTTTCCCAATTTTATTAAAAAAAAAGTCGTATAGGAGTCAGTCGGGACATTTTATTAGAAATACTTAAAATAAGATTTTAATAAAACCCGTTTCAGCAGTAATAGAGTTACATTCGGTAGGACTCCTTGGGCGGGTGATCAGCTCGTCGCAAGGCCTCTACCTGTACACAAACACAGAAAAACGCACATACACAAACACTAAACATCCATGCCCTGAGTAGGATTCAAACCCACGAACCCGGCTTCCAAACGAGCGAAGGCAGTGCATGCCTTAGACCGCTCGGCTACCGTGACCGGCCAGCAGCTGCTTTACCTCGGGGAAATTTCCCTCTGTACCCATTGTATCGGAGGTTGGGTGGGCTCCAGAGCAGGTCCCGGTGGTGTGGGGAAGAGAAAATCCTCGCCTCTGCCGATAGTCGAGCAGGGACCATCTAGCCTGTATCCTGTAGTTATACCGACTAAACAGTGTCGACTCCATGGTGTTGGGAAATACTGAACGTCTCTCTCTTCTGATCAGATTCTACAAACAGGCCTTTAAATGGCTTAAAAGTGGTCCAGTGACTGACAACTACAATCTGCCTTATTTTAATTGAAACTCTTCCAAGAATCTGGAAAGTATCAGGCCATGTTATTACAAGCTGCGGATGACATAATTATAATTACATTCTGAAAGCCGTTGTTCTTGTTTTAAAGTTTACTTATAAGTTGTCACTCCTTGTGGTTTGTCACGTACTTCTTACAACTGTATACAAATGTCTCTTAGAAAGTTTTCAGCGTAGTCAGCTTCGATTTTTTCCAATTACTGAAACATTCAGTGGAAAATCACACCTCTACCAACAAACTTCAGAGTAGCGAGCAGTTTCGTCGTAGTTGCTCTTCGTTTCTTGGTCTTTCGTCAAGTGTACATTTCGCACACATAGAACTCGTATGGTCCTGCCAGACTCTTCCAGAACCATTTTGCATGGACCATGCACAGAAACACGTGTCACGTGACCGCTACCCAGTCTGGTGGCGCGCTGGCCGCAGCCTAGCAACGGTCTTGGCACGGACATACAGAAAACACCTTCCGTGATCGCTACCCACTGTTGTGTGACGTCATCGCGGACACAGAGAAAACACTGTTTGCAATATTTTTGACCGCGTGTTTATTTTGAGCTTTGCCTAGCAATGGATTTACTTGTCCTGGTATCATTTTTACCAGTTCTGAGGTTCTGAATGCAGTGAGTGTTTTTCTGCTTTGTGACATGTGTAGTCTTGCACGAAGATATCGACCGTAAAGATAGAACCATAAAATCCATTTTGTATCTCCTTCTGTAAAGAGAGTACCCACTGCAAGAGTGCACGGTGGCACAAGCAACATTTTAAAAATCCAAATGTTTTTTCTGATTTATTTTAAATTTCAGATTTGTACTCATTAACCGTGTTGAGAAATATTGTAATAAGAGATTAATTGTTTTATGGAGGACTTATCCAGTAAACGTTTCTACGTGTGTCCACTATCAGTAACTAATTTAAATTACGTTATTTTCTTTGTTTCATTCTACTGAAGTCACAATTATTTTATAATGAAAAAGGCGTTTGATTAATTAATATAATTAGTTATATGATCTAACTGCAGCAGGCGATGGCAATGCCAAACAGACTGTAGACTTAGAAGGTCTTTAGATTGGGGGTTAGTAAGAGACACTATATTTGAGGGAAAAGAAACTTTGAAGGATCCCAGACAGTGCCAACTTCTCCTGGTAAATGTATGATTCCGAGAGGGTTAAGCTTTAGGAAGCTGTAAGGTAGGAGCCTGAAAGAAAGGATTTGAGATTTTATTGCGAACGATTGGAATTGATTTTTATATCACGTTGGAATGGCTACATTGGAGCAAAAATTTGAACTAACTTAGGAGTAAGATTATATTGGGACGAAATGTTGTTGTTACCTTGGGGGGGGGGGGCTGAACGTGAAGTATGCATTGCAACGTTAAATTCAGGTACCAATTCAGCATTTGATCTTGGACCGAGGAAAACCACTGAAAACCTTGATTGAGTTGGCCAATCGCAGGCCCTGACAGATGCAAACTGACTTCTAGCCAGTAGTCCGGCATTAAATACTTGAAAAAAACATTAGTCCCTATCTGGCTGTTGCTTTATTTGAAAAAAGTTTACATGTTTTTTTACAGAGCTTTTTATGTTCATATTTTGGATGAACACCAAGCAGTTTTATATAATATTCGCAAAGCGCATGCGTGCCTATACATACATACTTGCATAAAAATACACATAAATTCCAGTCTGTGATTGTTTCAATGTTTGTGAAAACTTAATGTGTATTTTTGGAGGATCGAATGTTTTATGAGGAAGGTTGATCATCCAGCAACAAAGGATTCTTATGTTACAGTTCATTGTTCATCTCGGCTTCTTCTGTTCCGCTATATTGACCAGTATAGGTAATTGGTCTTTGTGTTCGCTGATAACTAGAATTCTGGTTACCTATAAAGAAACCTTTGTTCTTTTAATGTTTTTTTTTTCGGGAGGTCTAGAAAGCTGTATTGACTGAGAGTGACAGTGACCAATTTCATCCAATTGCTTATTTATGTATTGCTGAAGATTGCCATATCTAGTGAATTATCTTGCAAGCGGCGGGAGGGGACGAAGATATTTATATCCAGTGGGATCGTAGGATTCTATTTCTTGAATCTGGCTCTTTTCACTTGTTACAGACTTTCGGTACAGTGCTCCCGGTAACCTCTTGACACGATTCTTATTAAGAACATTTAAACATACAATATTACGTACTTCCCTTTCATACGACACGAACCGCACAGAAAATAAAAGAATGAAGGGACAGCAGACAGCAAAGTGATCTCAGAAGTCTCCTAACAAATATTAAGGGTGGGACTCTCAGATATACTTCTTGGTGATGTCATAACCTTTTTTTTTCAAAATGAAGTAAGTAGCTCAAAATTAAAAAA